CACACACACACACACACACACACACACACACACACACACACACACACACACACACACATTATTGGACTTGTTCGATGTATATGCAGAGCATTTGTTTTGCAGTCCAACAATTCAAAAAAAGGGAAAAAATGATCCAGAACACTTTTTTGTGCGGTCCAATATTTTAAGTTCAAAAGTCTGTTCAAGACTTTGTTTCAGAGTTCTTTGTGGTTATATTATCCATATTCTTTATAGTTTTCCTCCAATTTTAAAAGTTCAGTTTTGTCCAACAAGAAAAAGGTCCTACCAGCTCGCCGTCAGTTCAGATTTCATTTGGAGGTAGAAAAAAACCTGACGTGTAAAGGGTCAGAACAATAATCAATATCAGTTTAAATTCAGTCAATTCAAGTCAGTTTACTGGTAAACATTAATACAATACAGAAGACTGTTTAGTCTGAATCCCTATAGTTTAGTATTGAAACGAGTTTATCTCTTAAGTTGTCCTGTGTTGTTAAACTGAATTATCTTTGATTTGATTTATTTTCAGTTGAATTATTGTTGAAATGGTTAAAAAGACAAAGAGTTGAAACCTTGTGATTTGAGTTCAGTTTCAGCTCTTCAGTCTGGTTTTAGACGGGTGAATAAATCAGTTATGGATCAGTAGACCTGGTCTGGTACCTGAAACTGACGCCTCACAGCAGGAAGGTTCTGGGTTTGATCCCCGGATTGGACCGGGGGTCTTCCTGTGTGGACTTTACATGTTCTCTCCTTGTGTGGGTCTCTCTGGGTACTCTGGTTCCCCCCACAGTACCAAACACTCAACAGGGATGTCTGTGGGATTTGTTTGGTTAAATAAGAGGAAAGAAATGAAAAAGAAGGAGTTGTGCTGTTTTTAAAGTCTGCTACAGAAGCTCAGCTTCCTGCTCCAGGAAGATGTGACACCTGTTAGTGTTTCCTCACGAACCGGCTCATCTGATTGGTCTGTTCCTGTCTCTTTCAGATTACTCTAACAACTATTGGATATGGAGACAAGTTTCCTGTCACCTGGAATGGCCGTCTGCTGGCTGCAACCTTCACTCTGATTGGAGTTTCCTTCTTTGCTCTGCCAGCTGTGAGTCAGATGTTTCACAGCTTCCAGCTCAGCAGGACCACGAGCTCCTGAGCCCAACAAGTCTACAAACTCTGCTTTTACACAAAACACACAACAGTTAAACAACAACACACTTAGTAACTGTGAGCTAACTGTCAGTCCACTGACCTGACTGAGACTGGAAGAAGAGGTCAGAAAACACAAAGATCTCATGTAGAGCAGCTTCAGTCCAGAAACTTTCAACTTGTTTGTTTCCTGGTTCAAACTCTGATGTTGACTTGATAACAAACAAAGTTTTAATTCAGCTCCTTCAGCAAACTGTCTTTGTTTGTTTCAATGAAACATTTTAAACCCTTTTCATGTCATTTATTCATTCAGGAACCTCTAAAGCTTAAAAAGGTTTTAAAACTCCCTCAACGCCTCATTTCTAAATAACCCGAATCAACTGTCATGACAGGATACAGTACCACTCACCTGTCTGCTAATTAACCTGAGCTTAACCTGACTTTGAACTCAGCTTTAAACCTGACTTTAAACCTGACTTTAAACCAGAGTTAAACCTGACTTTAAACCTGAGTTTAAACCTGATTTAAACCAGAGTTTAAACCTGATTTAAACCAGAGTTTAAACCTGATTTAAACCTGAGTTTAAACCTGAGTTTAAACCTGATTTAAACCAGAGTTTAAACCTGATTTAAACCTGATTTAAACCAGATTTAAACCAGAGTTTAAACCTGATTTAAACCAGAGTTTAAACCTGAGTTTAAACCTGATTTAAACCAGAGTTTAAACCTGATTTAAACCTGA